CTTGATAGCACCACCTTTTATCATTGTTTGTTTGTCAGTGTTATTACTCGCACGCTAAAATACCTATCAAGTTTTTCCCCAAAAAATAAAATAATATATATTTATCCACGAGGGTTTTTTTTTTTAATTTTTAAATTGAGACTCTTCTTATAATTGAAATGCTAAAATACCTATCAACGAGGTTTTTTTTTTAATTTTTAAATTGAGACTTCCTATAACTAAAATACCTATCAAGGTTTTCCTAAAATATATATATATATCAATGAGGTTTTTTTTATTTTTTTTTTATTTGAGACTCTTCCTATATCTCTTTAGCCTCTTTCTAGTGATCTTCCACTACTTAATTTTTTTTTCCCCCCTAAAATGAGTGAATATCATTTAAGGGCGCAAACAAACGCCAAGAAACAGTAAAAATCTATCACAGGACTAAGAAGAGAAAGGCATCCTACACGAGGGCGACCAACTCTTAAGACAACAAAAACACAGACGTGAAACAACCAACTTACACCCAACTTCGCCCAACATTAAAAGCTCCCAAATCTCCTTTTAAACGACATCGTAACAACCTCTGGTTGGTTGGATCACACCAAAAAAATTCATTTAAATAACTCATGGTTCCTTAAAATTCAAATAAAAACTAAATTAATATAATGAAAATCCTTTTTTTTGTAGTTGAAATCTTAGAAAAACCTGAACCCTTTTGCTACAATTTTACTGAGAAAACTAATCTAACACCTCACCTTTATTTTTTAACAAGCCTCTCTCTTCTTTTTCGAAATCAAAAGTTTGTTCATTGTTCACCCTTTTTGCAAAGACGAAAAAGAGGAGGGAAACGAAAGTATAGAAGAAAGAGAGAGGGAAGTTAGAAGGAGATGTTGGGCTCCATTACTTTGCTCTACATTTTAACATTTTGGATTTATTTATGGTCAGAAAAGTGTTCCACATGTCAACATTTATAAAAAGTAAAATTGACGTGTCAAAAGGAAAAAAAAAAAAGAGATAAAAACGTGTTGAAGCTAGAAAGTAGAATCTATTTTGGTTCTCCCCAATTTTTCAACTTAAACCTCTTTCTTTTTTTCCTCTCTCTCTCTCTGTTTTTTTTTTAACTCAACACAAATCTCTTGATTGTATAAACTATGTTTAGATTCTTTTTTTGAAGCATGTTTTATAATTTGTGATGGGTATTCTCTAATAAGCAACTACAAGCTATGCTCTTTTAGTTAAAAGCCTCTCAGATTGCATTTCTTAGAGTCTTGTGTATATTCTCACGTGTCAACATTTAGAAAAGTTAAAATTAATGTGTCAAAAGGAAAAAAAAAAAAAAAGAAGAGAGATAAAACATGTTGAAGCTAGAAAGTAAAAACTATTTTGGTTCTCCACAATTTTTCAACGTAAACCTCTTTCTTTTTTTTTCCCTCTCTCACTCTCTTTTTTAACTCAACACAAATCTCTTGGTTGTATAAACTATGTGTGGATTCCTTTTTTGAAGCGCGTTTTATAATTTGTGCGCTGGGTATTTTCTGATAAGCGACTATAAGCTATCTTCTTTTGATTAAAACCCTCTCAGATTGCATTTCTAGTCTTGTGTATATTTTATGTATACAAAGTAGCATAATTTATTAAGTCAAAAGTTAGGCATTGAGGTTCTTTAATTAATTCATTCATTAAAATGTGCTCTAAATTTTTGTTTAAATCGTAATGTGATCTTAAAGTAGATGTCCCCAGTGTCCCTCGTGGGTGTTCTCAAATATGACCTTTCTTTAATTTTTTATTTTTAAAATGAATAAAGATCGAAAGTTTTACATGTGAATAAGACTACTATTGAGAGATTGGCTACAGTTATCAATCTTTTGTGGTCCTGATCTCAACCTAGGTCAGTGATGATAAAATAAATTGGTCCCCACTACAATCAAATCTACCCACTAAATAGTGCACTTATGTTATCCTGGAGAAAACAATTAACTTTTTCCTCTCCCTAGTAATCCAAAAAAGGAAAACTAGCAAAAAGAGGCGAACACTTGAGATGGAAATTGGCAAGGAATTAGCAGAGACTATGCAGCAAGTTACAATGTTTCAGACCACTATCCATTGTAGTAGACACACACATGCACAAATGTTTTTTCTAACATTGCTCTATGCAAAACACAAATAACAGAACAACAACCATTAGCACCCAAGTTTATCTTTGTATCTCTAAAATTACCTGAGAGCTAATATAAAGCTTTCATCAAGCTTTTGGCAATGAGAGCCTCAACTTATTCATCACTTGTGCCATGTGCCATCTTCTCTGAAGATGAGAAGAAAAAAAAATGAAAAAATGAGTAGTTAGCACTAAAAAAGTCAATAAGTCCCAACACAAAAAGCTAAAAGTCATTCATCTGGTACCAACAATTGATTCATAGAAAGGAAGCCCAAACAACCTCGGAAAAAAATAAATTCACAATTGAAAGAAGCCACAAAAACTAAGAAACCAAAAGAAGAATTCGACCAGCACCCTTTATTTCCGTATTTACCTGAAAAAGGCACTTAAGAGTAGTATAGAAACTTACCTTTGTTACGGATAGTATCTTATACAACAATTAACAAACTGAAACGTTAATTTTTTTATTAGGAACAGTGACATAACTAGTTTGAACGAGGAATCTAAAGTAATTCTCCTTCGGTTTTGAACAGAAAAGAGATTTAAATATAGTCACTTTTACTTTATTCCTTCCAATAGTCTCAATCATATCTCTAAACTTTGTTGGCAATTAAAAGTTTCTATATGCCTAAATCTAATTGTTCAACACTAAAAATCACTACAGATTTTTAAACATCTGCCACAAGCATTGAAAAAACACCAAAATTAAGTATCAATAACCGAGTAATAAGAGAACTTAGGAGAAACTAAATCAATTTAGTTTTCATAGGCCTAGTGGTTATTAAAAATTATAGAAGAAAATAAGTAAAAGAAGAAAACAGAAAGATTTAACATGATTTGGTAATGTGTCTACTTTAATTGAGTGGAGAGAACAAAGAATTCTAAACAGGCTACTGCGTGAGAATGCATAGTTGATGATAATTTAAATACAAGTATACTTGCAATTTTGTTTCATGATTAGAGTCCTTTATATCTATTTATTTAAAACTTTAAATTGTATTAATCAAGAACATTTTATCAGCAAAGCAAAATAAATTTGACAACATTACTCTCTCTCTCTCTCGCACAAAAATTATGGAAAATAAAAAACAACTTGAACAAACCATATATATAAATTATATAAATAAGAGTACATGAAAGGTTTTAGCATGTGAGACTTCATATCAGTTCATGTAGGTTTTGAGGAAAAAACATATTTTCTTTCTTATTACAGTCATGGTAGCGTACATCTTATTTATAGGATACATTTTACCCTTGACAGTTCACAAACAGCTAACAAAACCAGAAACTATCTAGATCCGGAAACTAACTAAGGAGAATCCATAAACTAACTAAAGAGAATCCGGAAACTACCATATTTCCTAGGAACCTTACCCCAAACTAAGGGATTCAGTCCTTTTATTCAAAAACAAAAACAAAAGTAAACTAGAAAAAAGGAAAGTAAACAATTTTATTCTCCCCCTCAAGTGGGTGCATAGATATCATGCAAACCTAACTTGCTAACAAGGAAGTCCAACGATGACTTGAACAGTCCCTTTGTGAGGATATCTGTTGTTTGTTGTGTTGTTGGAACAAATAGCATACATATCATTCATCCCTCAAGCTTCTCCTTGATGAAATGCCGATCAACTTTAATATGTTTAGTTCGATCGTGTTGCACAGGGTTGTTGGCTATGCTGATTGCAGCTTTGTTGTCACAGTATAACTTCATAGGGCCTTTTATAGGCAACTTTAACTCAGTCAATATCCGTTGTAGCCATAATAGTTCACAAACTCCGTTGGCCATTGCTCTATATTCTGCCTCAGCACTGCTTCTTGCTACTACACTTTGCTTCTTACTTCCCCAAGTGACTAAATTACCCCACACATAGGAACAATATCCTGTTGTTGATCTCTGATCAATGGAGGATCCAACCCAATCCGCATCGGTGTAGATTTCAATCCTATGTTGAGTGTTCTTTTTGAAAAATAGGCCTTTCCCTAGAGAATTCTTCAAGTACCTTAGAATATGGTAGGTAGCCTCTAACTGATCCTTATTTGGTGAGTGCATAAACTGACTAACGAGACTAACTATGAAGGCTATGTCTGGCCGAGTATGAGATAAGTAGATCAGTTTACCAACCAACTTCTGATATCTTGTTGTATCCACCAGATCTCCTTCTTTAATGTTGCCTAGCTTAACATTGGGGTCCACTGGTGTATCTACCGGTTTGCACCCACTCAAACCTGTCTCATTCAGCAGAGCTAAAACATACTTCCGTTGACTTACAACAATTCCTTTCTTTGATCTTGCTACCTCCATTCCTAAGAAATATTTGCGGGGGCCCAAGTCTTTGATCTTAAATTCTGTAGCTAAGTTCTTCTTTAAGCGGCGCATCTCTTCCGAGTCATTGCCTGTCAAGATAATGTCATCAACATAGACAATTAGAATAGTAATTCTTCCACTTGATGAGTGCTTAAAGAACATTGTGTGATCAATTTGAGCCTATGTGTAACACTGCTTTTTTACCGAACAAGTAAATATCTCAAACCATGCCCGTGGTGATTGCTTCAATCCATAAAGTGACTTTATCAATCTGCACACTTTTGAGCCAAATTTTCTTTCAAAACCAGGTGGGGCATCCATGTATACCTCTTCTTCCAAATCTCCATTCAAGAATGCATTCTTGACATCTAGTTGTTGTAGTGGCGAGTCGAGGTTGGCTACTAATGAAAGAAGCACTCTTACAGTATTAAGTTTTGCTACTGGAGCAAAGGTCTCCATGTAATCAATTCCATACGTTTGAGTGAAGCCCTTAGCTACCAATCGGGCCTTATATCTTTCCAAAGATCCATCTAATTTATACTTTACAGTGAACACCTATTTGCATCCCACAGTCTTTTTGTCCTGTGGCAGGTCCACCATCTCCCACGTTTTGCTCTTCTCAAGCGCCCTCATTTCTTCTAGGATTGCTTCCTTCCATTCGAGAACCTGTAAAGCATCTTGAACATTCTTTGGAATTTCCACAAGTGAGAGTTGATTAGTAAAGAAAGAGAAAACTAGGGACAAATTTTCATAGGACACAAATTTTGACATTGGATCATTAGTACATGACCTAACCCCTTTCCGGAGTGCAATTGGAATATTAAGGTCATTGAGAGATGTTTCTTCAGGAATAAAATACAAGGAAGGAGAAACACCTGGAGAATTTTGGACGGAAAGAGGGACACTTGGAGAGTTTTGGTCCTACCGTGAGTTGGAATCTTGGCCTTGCTGGGAAACTTCAGGATTTTTTCCATAAGTCAAGTTCTTCTGAGAGTAAACCAGTCCGAATATTTTCTTATTTGCATCTCCTTCAATAGAATCATTATTCTCTACCGGGACAAGACTTGTGTTTGAGAATTCCTCATTATTTATAACATTTGTGTTTTCACTTTGGTCTTGTTCATTTTGAGTCAAAATTGAGTTTGTTGGAGACTATTTAGAACCAGATTCGGACATTAACTTGTGTTGAATCTGGAAAAAATCTTCCGTCACCAAATTTTCTATTTTATCCCAAGTCGGATCTTCACTATTTCTCTCCCCCTAAAGAGGAGACTTAAAAAAAGGTTTTGTTTCAAAGAAAGATACATCCATAGATACAAACATCTTTTTCAAAATAGGATCATAGCATTTGTAGCCCTTTTTTGTTGGTGCATATCCTACAAAAATGCATTTTTTGGCCCTAGGATCTAACTTACTCTGGTTTTCATCATGATTGTGAACAAAGACAGTACACCCAACGAGTTTAATTGGTAAGTCGGATACGATCCTAGAGGATGGAAAATTTTGTGAGAAAACTTGCAAAGGAGTTTGAAAATCTATAGTTTTTTAGGGCATTCGATTAATGAGGTAGGTTGTTGTGAGAATTGCATCACCCCAAAGGTATTTTGGAACATTATTTGTGAAAAGCAAGGCTTTTGATACTTCTAGAATATGTTTATTTTTTCTCTCAGCTATTCCATTTTGTTGAGGGGTGTCATTGCATGAACTTTGATGAATAATACCCTTTCAATAAAAAAATTCCCCAAAATATTATTAAAAAACTCCTTTCCATTATCACTTCGAAAAATTTGAATTTTCTCATCAAATTGAGTTTATACCATGGTGTAAAAGATTTTGAAAACTCCTTCAACCTCTGTTTTTTCTTTTAACAAGTAGACCCAACTTACTCTAGTGTGATCATCTATAAATGTGACAACCCACTTTTTTCCGAAAAATGTTGGAGTTCTTGAAAGAGACCCCAAACACCACTGTGGATTAAGGAAAAAGGTTTAGTGGGCTTGTATGGTCGTGGAAGGTAGGGAGATCGGTGTTGTTTTGTAAACATACAAATCTCACACTAAAATGAAGATGGATTTTTATTAATAAACAAAGATGGAAACAAACGTTTTAAATAATGAAAACTTGGATGGCCAAGTCTATAGTGCAATAGCATAATTTCATGATTACTAGAAGGAGACATAGATTCAAAAAAATAGAGTCCTCCATAAACTTCGGACTGGTTACTTGGGATTGTTCCATCTTCAAAAAAATAGAGTCCTCCATTTTCCCTAACGCTGTCAATCATCCTCCCCTAGGCCAATTCTTGAAACTCACAATGAGTTGGATAGAAATTAGCTTGACAATTAAGATCTTGGGTTATCTTACTGATAGATAGGAGGTTACATGACAATTTTGGAACATGAAGCACATTATTAAGAGTTATAAGGGGCGAAACTTTGATTAACCAATCCCGGCTATTGCCGAAAAAGATCCATCAGCAATCTTAATTTTCCTGTTTCCTACACACGGACTATAAGATGAGAAGAGATGTGAGCAATTTGTCATGTGATCTGTTGCTCTAAAATCTATAATCCAAGGGCTAGAAGAAAGACCGAAACTAGAGAGGGCCGTGACATAAGAATTACCTTGGGTTGCAAGGGAACATGAAGGAGTGACAGAGAATTGTGGAGATTAAAAGAGTTTGTATAGATGCTCTAACTTTTCCTTTGTGAAATGATGCACCTCCAAGTTGATTGATTGCCCTTGAGAATCGTCAGTGGTGGTTTGAAGAGATCTGCCATTGCCCTCATGTTTTTTCTTCAAATGCGCTGATTTCCCGTGAATTTTCCAGCATGTCTCCTTAGTGTGCCATGGTTTTCTACAATGATCACACCATGGTGGCTTTTTCCTTTCTCCTTCCATATCAGATCCTCATGAATTACGAGAAACTAGTGCAGAATTCTCAGGTTCAGGTGCTGGTGCTGCACTGTTTAGCATGATTCTCCTCCTATTTTCTTCTTGTCGTAATTCTGAAAAAACCTCACGAATAGAAGGCAGGGGTTTTCAGCCAAGAATTTTTCCCTTTACCTCATCTAGGCTTCTATTAACTCCTGCAAGAAACATATAGACACAATCATTCTCTTCACGTTTCATATACCTTGCACAATCATTCGGATTCTCCCACTCATCATCATAGCATTGATCCAGTTCCAGCTCATGGGTCACCATCTCATTGTAATATACTATGATCTCATGGTCTCCTTGCTTGGATTGCCATAGCTTTGATTTTAATTCAAAGATTTGTGAAGAATTTTCCAAATCTGAGTATGTTTGCCGAACGGAATCCCACACAACTTTGGCGGTTGGCAGGAACATGTTTGGTTTTACGATTGCTGCCTCCATGGAATTCAGAAGCCATGCTGTCACCAAGGAATTTTCTGACCTCCAGTTTTTGAAGCCTGAATCTTTTTCTCCGGGCTGCTTCTCTTCCCCAGTAATATATATGAGTTTTTCTCTGCCATCGAGCACAAGTTTGACGAACTATGACCACACAAGGTAGTTTTTTCCTATTCAACTTTTGAACGAAGATTTGTAAGGAGGAACCGGTTGTTATATTATCAGCACCAGTATAGAGAGAATTGTCTAAGCTGCTTTCAGAGGTAACCTCAGATGAGGTTTGGGCTCTGTTTACACCGGTCATGGCTGTCTTTGCCATTTTTACCTTTAGATTAGGACCCTAAGGCTATGATACCATGTAAGTTTTGAGGAAAAAACTTATTTTCTCTCTTATTACAATCATGGTAGCGTACATCTTATTTATAGGATACATTGTACCTTTGACAGCTCACAAACAGCTAACAAAACCAGAAACTATCTAAATCCAGAAACTACCCTATTTCCTAGGAACCTTACCCCAAACTAAGGAATTTGGTCCTTTTATTCAAAACCATAAAAAGTAAACTAGAAAACAGGAAAGTAAAATATTTTATTCGCTATTAGGAAATAAAATCTTTTATTTTCTGACAGTTCACAATTTGGGAATTATGGAAAATAAAAAACAACTTGAACAAACCATAATTATAAATTATATAAATAAGAGTACCTAAAAGGTTTTAGCATGTAAGACTTCATATCAGTTCACAATTTGGGAAACAAATAAAGCAGCTGACCAAACAGCTATTCATTTAAAAATATGATAACTCTCCGTACTAGAACTCAATTTCCTTATAATCAAGAAATTCAACTCATTTTTCAAAGTAGAACCTAAAATCCTCTTTGGAAATAGCTATTTATTTGAAAATATGAGAACTCTCCACAATATAACTCATTTTGGTTATAATCAAGAAATTCAACTCATTTTACAAACTTTTTGAGTTCATAAGGAAAACTTATCTTCATCAATTACAAGCAATTTGAAACCTCAAATTTTACAAACAATTTAACTTTTTCTTTTTTCTTTTTTCTTTTTTTTTTTAGTAGAGAGAGTACAAAGACATACAATCCATGGTGGAAAGAAATCTGAACAAATAATGTCATTTTCTATTTAAAGAGCGAGTAAGAATAAATCACATGATATAAAAAAAACAACACAAGATTTATTTAACTGCCCGAAAAAAGAAAATGACATAAAGATCCTAAGATCGTAAGGTTGATGGAGACATCATTTTGGACCTGCAAAATATAAAAATATAAGAGTTGATAAAAACGAACTAAATTAATCAAATGAAAAAAAAGAAGAATGAACTTATCTTTTTCTTTTTAAGATAGGTAGAAGTATACGTAAATACATATACAATCCGTGTCAGACAAAGATCCAACCATTAATGTCCTTTTCTTAACCAAGAAACATGAAAGGTAAACCACGATTGGCCTTTAACAAAGAGCAAAATCATAATTAACCAAACCTTCCGGAACAAGAAAAAGACAAGATTGTAGCAACCGTAGAGAAAAGTTAATACCTAGGAGCGCCAATAGCATAATTAGTATAGAAAACAAGATGAATAATAAATAATAATACAAACAAACAAAATAGAAAAATACAAAGAAAATAAAATGGGACTCATCTTTAAAAGAAGGATAGCATGTGTGAGAAGATCATGTAACTGGTGAAGTTTAACTCGGAAAAGACGAACATATAAAAGGTAGGAAGTGTAAAAACCCTTCCCATTCTTTTTACATCCGTACTTAGTGTAGGTCCCCGAGATAATAAAACAAAGGAGAACGAAAAACAAGAGATATAATTTACCAAGGACCACATGTATAGAACTATAATAAAAAAATTAATCGTTACTCATGAAACTCTCATAAAGAGACATGATAATATATTACTTCCAAACTCTCATATAGAGATACTAATAATGACAAACTTAATAAAATAACTTCTGAAACGTAGATTGCTTTTAACTTTCAGAAATGAGACTTTTGATAAATTACCTAGAAAAATCCATAATACAAAAGAAACCTCATAACCCTCAAAAGGAAAGAATAGTTCGCATAATATAGTATGAGCAATTAACCCCATAATTTTTGTTTTTTGAAAAGAAACAAGGAAAGCTTTATTAGAGACAACTAAAAAGAACTACAAAGAGGAAGAGGTTTCCTCAAAATGGCAAAATAAATGAAAGAAAGTAAAAAAACTCGAGCAGACAAGAAAATACAACCAAGGGCAACAAAAAATTCAACTCATTTTTCTCTCTTATAAAATAGAAACACAAAATTCAACTCATTTTCTTTTCTTATAAAATAGAAAACTAAGTAGGGTATGCACATAAATAGAACACGAAATTAAACCGTGTTGAGGAAGCATTTAACATTACCACCTAGAAGTATTCAAACCAAACAACAAACAACGGAAATAAGATTCTGCCATTAGGACTCTGGACATACTCTAGTGAGATGACGAAGTTTAAGTAAGAGGGAAAAAAAAAGAAACGGGAAAAAGAAAGGACATCTGATTAGGCACATACCTTCTAAATGTGCAAAGAAAAAACCTCAAACTTTAGCATTCTACAACAATCTATAAATTAGTAGGGGGAATGGTAATCTTCAATTAGAAATTAACAACCAGCCCATTTAGCAACCTCCATAAAAATAAAGAAAACCCACACTCTACAACCCCATCAAAGATGAACCCTTTTTTTTTTTTTTTTTCCCTGCATCGCTGCAAGAAATGAGAACCAGGGCTATGTAAATTCAGCATTGCCCAAAGATTCACAGCAATGAAAATCGAGTAAAAACTTATAACGGAAAACCCAATGCTTAACACATCAGGGAAAAAAAGGCTTGGGAAAGCCAAAGAGCAACCCAATACTTAATTATATCCCAAACCTTAGTCACATTACCTTCTAAATCATTAAAAACTCGTCATTCCTTTCTAGCCAAAAAGCCCAAGTAGTAGCAAGATGTTCATAATCTATTGGCACTATTGCTTCTACCAAACACAAGATCACCATTGAAATGATCAACTGTCCCACTAGGAATCACCCAAGAAAAACCAAACTCTCAAAATCCGAACCCAAATATCCAAGGAAAAAGGGCAGTGGAGGAAAAGGTAGTCTAGAGTCTCACCATGACTTTTACAGTGGGCACATCAACCAGGGGAGAGGTGTACATGAGGCTTTCTTCATTAAAAAAAGACATGACATCCAATAGAATCAAAAGTGTGCAGTGTAATTTCGATTGCGTACCTTAGAAGTTGGATGAACAATTCGCGTCCATCCAGGTTAGGTTATTGTCATAGGCAGTGCAAGTCTCACAGCGCAATCCTCTGTCGCAATAATAGTCCTACGAACAAGTCTCCCCAATAGAGAAAGTCGATGGTAAGGAGACCGTCAGTGGATCGGCGGAAGAAGGAACGACCTGCTGGGGAGGGTGACGAGGAAGCAGAGTCCGTTGACGAGTCCACCCGTAACTTATCAAATTATAGTTTTGCAAGTTTCAAGAAGACAGATCAAATATCAGTAGAGTTTAAAAGTGTAAATTAAAAGTTATTTTAAACGTGAAGAGGTAAAAGATTACGAAAAATAAAGAGCAAATAAAATGGCTGAAGATTAAATTGGACATTACAAATAAGAAAAGAAAAATTACGACTAAAACAATAAGTGTTTAACTTCTACAAGAGAAGACTATAAATAATAGAAACTGTTTAGACTCTTATATAAAGGGACTATGATAATGGTAGCATAAATGAAAGTTAATACAAAATAAAAATAATTAAGATGATATAAGAATTTTCAAAGTTACAGAACATTGAGAATGAGATTAAAAAGAAACAGACATCCTAAAATCTAGATATTGTTTAAAGAACAAAGGGTACTATAAGAAAAAGTTATTAGAGATGAAAATTAATGCAAAGAAAGTTAAGAGTTTAAAATTAATTACTATCAAATTTAAAATCTGTATTCATTAAGGGTTAATGAAATACACTAAAGAAATCAAGAAATGAATAATTAAATTGAAGGAAACAAGGAAGAGAATAGGGTAAGTTTAGACAAAGCCTAGAACCAGAAAAAAAAATCTGGTATTAATTAATGGGCCCCCACATTACTATGCGATGAATCAATTATAATATATCGATAATCTGATAAACATTACTGAATACACAACAATAATCTAAAATATATATATATAGCAGCAGAAAAGTCCAACAGAGGATGGCTGGCTGCACCTTGTACGATTCCACAACACAAGTGAAAACAGTGTTCGAGCCGGAACTCTCAGCATTGATGCTAGTCGCACCTGTCCTCCAATTTGACAGTCCCAACAAAGTGTAATTAGCAGATGTACTTAGATACGTAAACAAGTTAATTATGAAACATGGTTGGTCATCCATTCTCTCATTTGGTGTGGAAAGAAACTTCAATTAAAAAAATTGATAAAGTAGATATTTCGAATAAAATTTAAAGAATGAGAGAAATTTGAGAGCAACAGAAAAACTATCTTCTTTGATGCAAATCATAACACGCTAGTGAGTACACCCAATAAATAAGTAATAACTCCATCAGTGAGATATATTGCAAGCTAGATGGACAGTATACCATTTCCTCTTCATGTCTTTTAGTTTAACATAATCTTCGTGTTTTCTTTAATGTGTTAGTCTTGATGGTTACTTCAATATGATAGATAAACATGACTTAATAATGACTTATTTTCTTTTTTGTAAGAGCTAATATAGTCTTCATGTTGCTAATCCACTTTTGACTAATTTTAATTTCATCTTTTTTCAAATTTTACATACTTAAAGATGGAAATTGAAGACATATTTATAGCATGAACAACTTACGTTCTCTTTTGTTATTGTTATTGTAACAAAATTTTACATACTTAAAGATGGAAATTGAAGACATATATTTATAGCATGAACAACTTACGTTCTCTTTTGTTATTGTTATTGTAACAAAAGAAGAACAAGAACAAGAAAAAAAAAAAAAGCAAGAAAAAAAAACGACAACAACTGTTTGTTGTTATAAAATGCACTCATATATTACCTTAACTAAATGTAATTAGCCCAAATAGATATTCTCAATGTAAAAGAAGAAACATAGATCGCAACTAATTGAATGTAAGGTTTTATTTTAGCTGCTGCTGAATGCAAAGATTCTAATCATCAATAATCAAATAGATATCAATGAAATCAGAAATAGGGGGAAGCAATTATCAACTAAGTGGATGCTTGAGAGAGCCAACCAAGTTGTTCGAAAAAGGTTGAGTGCAAAC